CTTCAGCTCAGGTCATAATCCTGGGGACCTGGGATCAAGTCCATCAGTAGGCTCCTTGCTCAGCGGGGACCCCACTTCACCCTCTGCCGCTGGTGCTGTGCTCTCTCTCTCTCTCTCTCTCTCTGACACAAATAAATAAAATCCTTAAGAACAAAAAAGTGCAGGATGATCACTGAGATGAAGGACACAGGTCAAGAACTGAACAGCAAACATCATTCTCAAAAGAGCTTAAAACTGTCCTCAGAAATCTTGCCTTATCAGAAGAACTTACACTTCTTAAAGACCCCATGGATTCCTTTTTTATTTGGCTTTCCTTTTTTTAATTTAATTTTATTTTTTCAGTGTTCCAAGAGTCATTGCGTATGTACCATACCTAGAGCTCAGTTCAGAATGGTTAAAATAAATCCACCCAACAGTGTAAATCAATGGAATTGAGTTTTTAGAAAGCATCAAGTGTATGGCAAGTGTAGAGACCCAGGCAGATCCCAAAATGGGCCTCAAGGTCATACTGACTATCTTGAATGGAAGCTACTTCAGAAACAGCAGGTGCACGGACATCACACTGTCCTCTGTCCTCCTGAAAGCAGGAAACAAATCTCCCCATGAAAGGTGCCTGACCAGGATGAAGAAGAAAAAGACATCCTGACACCACCAGTAGGGACCTTGGAGTTGAGAAAGCTATAGAAACAAACCATGCTACATTTTTAGGAATCGGCTACCTCAGCCCAAAATCTAATTAAAATTCCTTCCTAACTAAAGCTACCAAGCATGTATTTCCTTTATCCTGTCAAATCTGCACAGATTTCTTGTCTCTGTATAAAAGGTGTAACAACTGCCTGCCTTGGTCATTTCTTTGGGTCTCAATTTCATCACTGAGCCTCCATGCTCAAGTAATAAACCATCAAGTTTTTCTCTTGTTAACTCTGCTCTTATCTATTTAATTCCAAAATAAGTGGAAGAACCCTGGGGGGAAGAAGGAACTGTCTCCCTCCCCAAAGCAAGTGTCCAGTCCCTAGGCCATCTCAGAGACCCCATCCTCTGACCCCTCTGAGCAGCAGTCATTCATCCTCTCCTTTCTGCACTGACACAGACTCACCTTCCCAGCAAACCACATTCCCATGCACAGTGGTTCCAGAGTCTGCAAGACCAGGTCTGCAATACGCTACAATACCACAGCGAGGAAAGAAGTTCTCACCTGTATTACAAGACAAGCATCTGAAAAGAAGCCACCTGCAAAGAAAAGGGCTCACAGGGACCTATAACCTGTTCCTCCCTCCTCACTGAGCCTGGACAGAGCAGAACTCTGGCAAACAGTAACTGAAATGCACAGACTCTGAGCGACATGAGGGTCTGACAGGGGTGGCGGTGCTGTGATTTCTGACCTAGTAGTGATTCCAGCACGATGCAGAGGGTCTGTTTAGAACCTCCACTCTACACATGGCAGATATGCTACCAAATGACAGTCCTAAAGCCAGGACAGGGCGATGAAGGTAGGGACACATAATGTGTGAATCTCCTCCAGGCCTTCTCTGTGCTGACTCGTACCACAGTAGATCTGCCTCACATTTGAGAAGAAAGAGGCTTTCCGTTGCAGTGAAGGGGTCTGCCAAGCTGTGTCTGATGGCTCTGGGGCCTTCTGCATGCACTCCTGCTACTTGGTATCCTTCGCTAACTGGTAATGAACCACCTGAGGTTAAAAATTGTGTTTCATGTGAGTCTGACGACATTCTGGGTCTCTGCCATCACTACCTGAGCCGATGGTGTGTGCCGTGTTCCTCAGAAAGCAGAAGAGCTTGAAGAATCCATGACTTGCTCTAGAGTCTAGATCCTCCTGACCTCCAGGGGCTAAACACACATGGAATAAAATAACTTAGCCAAGCCTTGGGTACAAGTGCACAGCCCTGCCACACTTACTGGTGAACACACAGAAGGAAACAGTCCAAATAATATTGGTGACAATTTACACAACCCTGGAGTAAGTTACAGACAAGACATGGACACCATGGGGAGCAGATTCCTAACATTACAAAAATGTCACAGAACAATCCTGAACTTGTGTTTTGTCTCTTAACTGATTTCTTTTTTATTTTGGCACGGATCCCAGAGAGCTTTGTTCTCTATAACTTATTTCCATGAGTTGTAAACATCCAAATGCACTCACATAGTCACTTAAAGGAAATAAATATTTTGCCCCAGGTTCTGTGTGTCCTTAAGAGCAGAGAAGGACTTGTTCACCCAGTACAATAGTCTCTGTAACATCATGAGACCTTGAGGGTTTTGCACCAAAGACAGTTCACTTGAGGGACTTTAAAGTGACCATTTGGGTAAAACTGTCAGGATGTGGCTGAAACATAAGGGAAAGCAGGAAATTTGTCACCATCGGGATAAACAGTGGACAGAACTGTTTTCCTACTGATATCCATGAAGCATCACTATGGTGTCAAGATACCTCCCAGGTGTTGATTTCAAGTAAGAATACTGTGATGCTCTTAGTGATACAGAGACAACCTGACTGTGAGCATGATCTCCCCTGGGTGTCATTTCCAGCCTCCACATGCTGTCTCTGCAGCAAGATCACTTGGCACGAGCATGGCCAGCTCAGGGTTCAAGGCCCTGGGGAGGCCGGTTAGCCATCAGGATAGGGAACAGAAGAGTTGTCCTGTGTATGTGTCCACTCCAAGACACAAACACATCTACCTGCACTGGGCTGTGTGCAGAATTCAGAGCTGCGTGACAGTTATTTTATAATGAGATGGGTATCTATAAAGCATAGACACATAGAGATCTTTAATAGCTCACATGCATTTTATTTATTTCTTTAAGTTTTCTCCTGGTGAAAATGAATAAGCTCCACGGAACATGGGATTTCCTGGGAAACAGAGGTCATTTCTCTTACTTTATGGGCCCCTGCATTCAAATTGCCTGGGCCTTGGGCAGAGTGAGATACAAAGCATTGATCAGTTGATGCCTGGATCAAAAAATTTACAAAATGGCACAAAGAGAAGATCTAAATGTTTCACCCTTTGAAATTTTGCTGCATCATTGTAGATAGAACATACAGAATATTGACTAGGAACTGAGTTATGTACTGTTCAGATACCATACTGTCCTAAATGTCATCTTGAATGCAGGGGGTGGCTCACGAGCTGCATAACCCGCTTGCAGACCTCACATGGGCGCTCCTCCGCCTGCAGCACAACGTGACACGTAAGCACCGTCTGCTGGTCTGCTGCTCGGTAGCTGCTGCTCAGCGTATCAGCAGCTACGCACCAGGCCCCACCCCTGTGGGACAGGAGCGCCTCACACCTCACACCTCACACTGCATAAAACCACTGTCACACGGCTCACATCACACCCGGCCTCATATCTGAATGGCTATATCAGAAGTGATGTTACCAAATTTCTCTTTCATCTAAAAATATGCTTTTCCCACAGATGCCCACCTAATTCTGTGAAAAAGCAATGATACAGTCAACCTATGGACCTGCTAATACGGCCATGATCCAAATACAAGAGTAAGTGACGTTCCTCCAGCAGTTGCTACAAAATGCTAAAATGTTAACATTTCTTACAGCGCGTTAGTGGTTCCTATTCTTATTTTGCCTATGCCCTCATATCATGTGCATAAATGGCTTTTTATATGCAAATGATCTAGGAACAAAAATCAGCCTCTCTGGAAGTTCTGTGGATCCAAAACTTGGATTTTGAGCACTCATTTGCTCCAAAGAATGAGGTAAGTAAATTCCCTTGAGACTTCTCACGGGAAATTTTAGATGATCCACGTAGGTCACAAACATCTTAATCACTCTGGCATTCAATGTGTTCCATCAAAGGGTCTTCCCCGCCCGGTCATCTGGACTCCTGGCCCCTGCCAAAGTACCTTCTTCATTGCCACGGTCACATCCTTGTTCCTCAGTGTATATATGATGGGATTGACTGTGGGGGTGACGATGGCGTAGAACAGAGAAACAAACTTGCCCTGATCCTGGGAGTAGTTGTTGCTGGGCTGGAGGTAAGCATAGATGGCTGTGCCATAGAACAGGGAGACCACTGTGATGTGGGACCCACATGTGCCAAATGCTTTCCTCTGCCCTGCAGATGACTTTATTCTTAAGACTGCCCTGAGGATCTGACCATAGGAGAAGATGATTAACGTCACAGGTATGAGGAGAATGACCACACTGGCAAAGAACATCTCTGACTCATACACAGTGGTATCAACACACGCAAGCTTGAGTAGTGGGGGGATCTCACAAAAGAAGTGGTCTATTTTATTTCTCCCACAAAGTGGTACAATGAAGATGAGCGATGTTTGCAATGAGGAGTTGGCAAAACCAAAGAACCACGATGCAGAAGCCATGAGGGCACAGAGACGGGGGTGCATGATCACGGTGTACTGCAGGGGCTTGCAGAT